TAAGGCTGATAGTCAACAACAAGCATGGAGCAACACACAAATTAGCATAGTGTATATGTTTGAAACTCAAAAAATTAAATCTGAAGCTATAAAGCACGGTGAAACATTCATAATAATTTTCTCAAAAAAATCAAAAACATGGCACTGGAAGAAACGGACTTATTGGTAAGTTTCCATATGGAATCCATGTATACAAATATCTCTGGAGAAAATGCGCTAACGTCCCTGCTGGAAATCCTGGACCGAGAGGAGGATATCCTAGAATCACAACGGACTGGTAGGGAATCGTTAACAAGACTAATCAATTTGACCGTAAGGACAATCTATTTTACATTCAACGGGAACATCTATGAACAAATATTTGGACTTCCCATGGGATCGCCGCTCTCACCACTTTTGGCTAACGTTTAAACAAAAAAAGAAAAGAAGTTCAAGATTGCACCGCTACTTCGGACTAGGTGCGTTCTACTATGTCCCTCTGACAACAAGACCAAGTTGCTACAACTAGGTCAACCCACTTCCTTATTGTATAATTCAATATTAAATAGAATTCCACAATTGATAATCTTTTGAGGACTCTTTTCCGTCTATAAAACTTAGTTATACCATAAGGTATCCACAGCTTGAGTAGGCACGAAGAAACAAGTGATCTACATAGGGTCGAGCCTCCATCACAAGTACGCATTATTATTCCACACCCAAAAGCTGAGGGAAATTAGAGAAACCGGTTACAACCAACGCAATCGGGAAAAAAAATTTAAATATATGCATTTGAATCCAAAGGAGTTGTGCTAAACAAAATTATAAGCCGGCTTTTGGATCTGTAGCAAGCAAATTTGGTTCATTTCGCAGCTCACCTGTCATATGGACAGCTGATGTGTACCACATTTTTGATACTTGGTTTACCAACGATAACTGCTGGCAGCAGAGGTGATGTCATGGCAAAACTTTTGCGCGAATGGGTTGAGTAAACACCGGGCTCACGGAGGCCTGGATCTAAAGCGACATTGACTTTTTTGCGTGGCTCCGGAGTAGCGTGTCTAGAGACTGATATTGAGCAAGGCTCTTTAGTGGAATGAGCTGGATGCTTTGTAATACAGGTTGCTGCAAAAAGAGAGATGTAAATGAACAAGGATAATAACGGAACAAATAAATATAAAAGCCGCAAAAATGAGCAGATTAAAATTTAGATGCATCCTCCAATTAAGTTAGGATTTGGAACAAGATTATCGCATTGAGGTGGCATTTAAAAAGGTATTTAAGATTAAAGAGACACTAAAGTAAGAGAGAAACAGATTAGGATGTTGTAATCAGGTAGTTTAGTCAGATAATATTCTTATAAGCAGCAAGATCAAGGTCAGTAAATTCCTAATTTGCATAGTG